TGATACGTTTTTAAATGTTGTTGACTGAGTTTCATGTTTAATGAATAAAAGTATAATAATAATAGCAATAGCAATAGCACTTAGATTTATATACCGCTTCATAGTGGTTTTACAGCCCTCTCTAAGCGGTTTACAGAGTCAGCCTCTTGCCCCCAACAATCTGGGTCCTCATTTGACCCACCTCGGAAGGACGGAAGGCTGAGTCAACCTTGAGCCTGGTGAGATTCGAACTGCCAAATTGCAGGCAGCCGGCAGGCAGCAGAAGTAGTCTGCAGTACTGCACTCTAACCACTGCGTCACCGCAGCTCTGATAATGGCTAATATTAATAGTAATAAAAGCGTCATTCCTGCAATGAGACTTAGATAGAATCAGGGATAGAGTCGAGGCTAAAACCTATGAAGAAGTGCTGCAGGATTTGGGTTTGGCTAGTCTAGAGAAAAGAACAAATAGAGGTGACATGATAGCATCTTCCAGTATTTGAGGGGCTGCCAGAAAGGAGGTCTATTTATTTTCCAAAGCACCAGAAGGCAGGACAAGAAACAATGGATGGAAACTAACCAAGGAGAGAAGCAACCTGGAATTAAGGAGAAACTTCTTATCAGTGAGGACAATTAACCAGTGGAACAGCTTGCCACCAGAGGTTGTGGGTGCTCCATCACTGGAAGTTTTGAAGAAGAGACTGGACAACCATTTGTCTGAAATGGTATAAGGTCTCCTGCTTGATCAGTGGGTTGGACTAGAAGATCTCCAAGGTCCCTTCCCATTCTATTCTACCGTCGGCATTGACAAATTCACCATCAGTCATTTGCAAAAGGCAGCTTGACTCAGAATAGCTTACATCCTGCGACAATCCCTTTAACACCATCAAACATCCACATCTGCTCATCCCAGGTCCTTTGGGAGGACTCAAAGCAGAGGTGGTATCCAGCGGGTTCTGACCAGTTCTGGAGAACCGGTAGCGGAAATTTTGAGTAGTTCGGAGAACCGGCAAATAAATACCACCTCTGGCTGGCCCCGCCCCCATCTATTCTCTGCCTCCTGAGTCCCAGCTGATTGGGAGGAAATGGGGATTTTGCAGTAACCTTCCCCTAGAGTGGGGTGGGAATGGAGATTTTACAGTATCCTTCGCCTGCCACGCCCACCAAGCCATGCCACGCCCACCAAGCCACGCCCACAGAACCGGTAGTAAAAAAAATTGAAACCCACCACTGACACAAAGGGTAGACTAAAATGCGAAATGCAGTCTTGCTGACTGTGCAATCAACCATAATCATAATAATTGTTGACAAGAAAGACAATAATAATAATAATAATAATAATAATAATAATAATAATAATAATAATAAGAAGAAGAAGAAGAAGAAGAAGAAGAAGTTGATAAAAAAAACAAGACAAAGCATCAAACTTCCAGAGTTAAAGCTGCAAGAAATACATGTTTGATTGAAGGAAATAAAACCACAGAGGTCCCAGCTTAATTAGAAAAAGTAGTTATTTTATTGTAATGAGCAAAAGTAAAATTAGTTCCCTAGCAAATTCTTTCTTCCGCGTTTGCAGAAATGTTTCATCTGTTTCTAGATTTTGCAAGCCATTTCAAAGACAGGAGTCATTCAAATGCCAAGTAAACTTGGAAGAAGAATTTACATCATTGTTATCATTACAGTTATTATTTTAATGAGGAACACAATAAAATGACCTGTCAGCTTTAATCAGCTTTAGTGGTGCTACGCAACTCACCCTCAGGTGCTAACCCATTTGTTGGAATAGGGGAAAGCCCATCATCCTGAGCAAAGGCTGAGGGGAGTTGTAGTCCGACCTATCTGAAAAACTCCTGGCTGGGAAAGCGAATTAGCCCAAGAGATTTAGCAAGCAAAATGCCCAGAGATACTACATTCACATGTGCAACTTAGTTAAGGAATCCATTTCTGGCTTGGCACATGACCTTGAAGACTTGACAAAACCCTACGCAGGATGGAAGGAAGGAGGGATGGGAGGAAAAGAGGACGGGAGGGAGGGAAGATGGAAGGAGGGAGGGAGGGGAGAGAGAGGAAGGAAGGAAGGAAGGAAGGAAGGAAGGAAGGAAGGAAGGAAGGAAGGAAGGAAGGGAAAGAAAGGAAAGGAAAGGAAAGGAAAGGAAAGGAAAGGAAAGGAAAGGAAGAAACGGTTTAATCCTCGCTGCTCAAGAACAAGCACTACAAACTGATGCCATGAAAGCAAAGATGCAAAAATCCACCGACAATCCAAACTACCGACTTTGCAACGACAAAGTCAAAACTGTTTCACATTTAATATGTGAGTGCAGCAAAATCGCACAAACTGATTACAAAGCTAGACACGACCGAGTTGCTAAATTAATCCACTGGTCATTATGTAAAAAATACGACTTACCTGTGTCCAAAAAGTCATGGGAACATAAAGTGGAAAAAGTTATAGAAAATGAGAAGGTGACGATCTTGTGGGACTTTCGAATACAGACGGATTGTCACTTGGAACACAACACGCCAGATATCCCAGTTGTCAAAAACTGAAACGTACAATTTATTGACATCGCGGTACCAGGAGACGCCAGAGTTGAAGAAAAAGAACTGGAAAAAAATCACGAAATATCGCGACTTGGCCATCGAAACTTGGTTGATACCTAGGATGCTGGCAGCAACCCATATCAACCATCAGTCAATGATATTTGTGATACATTTTTAAATATTCAGTTGACTGAGTTTCATGTTTAATGAATAAAAGCATAATAATAATAGCAATAGCAATAGCACTTAGATTTATATACCGCTTCATAGTGGTTTTACAGCCCTCTCTAAGCGGTTTACAGAGTCAGCCTCTTGCCCCCAACAATTTGGGTCCTCATTTTACCCATCTCAGAAGGACGGAAGGCTGAGTCGACCTTGAGCTGGTGCGAATCGAACTGCCGAATTGCAGGCAGCCGGCAGTCAGCAGAAGTAGCCTGCAGTACTGCACTCTAACCACTGCGTCACCGCAGCTCTGATAATGGCTAATATTAATAGTAATAAAAGCGTCATTCCTGCAATGAGACTTAGATAGAATCAGGGATAGAGTCGAGGCTAAAACCTATGAAGAAGCGCTGCAGGATTTGGGTTTGGCTAGTCTAGAGAAAAGGGGTGACATGATAGCATCTTCCAGTTTTTCAGGGGCTGCCAGAAAGGAGGTCTATTTATTTTCCAAAGCACCAGAAGGCAGGACAAGAAACAATGGATGGAAACTAACCAAGGAGAGAAGCAACCTGGAATTAAGGAGAAACTTCTTATCAGTGAGGACAATTAACCAGTGGAACAGCTTGCCACCAGAGGTTGTGGGTGCTCCATCACTGGAAGTTTTGAAGAAGAGACTGGACAACCATTTGTCTGAAATGGTATAAGGTCTCCTGCTTGATCAGTGGGTTGGACTAGAAGATCTCCAAGGTCCCTTCCCATTCTATTCTACCGTCGGCATTGACAAATTCACCATCAATCATTTGCAAAAGGCAGCTTGACTCAGAATAGCTTACATCCTGCGACAATCCCTTTAACACCATCAAACATCCACATCTGCTCATCCCAGGTCCTTTGGGAGGACTCAAAGCAGAGGTGGTATCCAGCGGGTTCTGACCAGTTCTGGAGAACCGGTAGCGGAAATTTTGAGTAGTTCGGAGAACCAGTAGTAAAAATTCTAACTGGCCCCGCCCCCATCTATTCTCTGCCTCCCAAGTCCCAGTTGATCGGGAGGGAAAGGGGATTTTGCAGTATCCTTCCCCTGCCATGCCCACCAAGCCATGCCACGCCCACCAAGCCACTCCCACAGAACCAGTAGTAAAAAAATTGAAACCCACCACTGACTCAAAGGATAGACTAAAATGCGAAATGCAGTCTGTCTGACTGTGCAATCAACCATAATCATAATAATTGTTGACGAGAAAGACAATAATAATAATAATAATAATAATAATAATAATAATAATAAATAAGAAGAAGAAGAAGAAGAAGAAGAAGTTGATAAAAAAAACAAGACAAAGCATCAAACTTCCAGAGTTAAAGCTGCAAGAAATACATGTTTGATTGAAGGAAATAAAACCACAGAGGTCCCAGCTTAATTAGAAAAAGTAGTTATTTTATTGTAATGAGCAAAAGTAAAATTAGTTCCCTAGCAAATTCTTTCTTCCGCGTTTGCAGAAATGTTTCATCTGTTTCTAGATTTTGCAAGCCATTTCAAAGACAGGAGTCATTCAAATGCCAAGTAAACTTGGAAGAAGAATTTACATCATTGTTATCATTACAGTTATTATTTTAATGAGGAACACAATAAAATGACCTGTCAGCTTTAATCAGCTTTAGTGGTGCTACGCAACTCACCCTCAGGTGCTAACCCATTTGTTGGAATAGGGGAAAGCCCATCATCCTGAGCAAAGGCTGAGGGGAGTTGTAGTCCGACCTATCTGAAAAACTCCTGGCTGGGAAAGCGAATTAGCCCAAGAGATTTAGCAAGCAAAATGCCCAGAGATACTACATTCACACGTGCAACTTAGTTAAGGAATCCATTTCGGGCTTGGCACATGACCTTGAAGACTTGACAAAACCCTACGCAGGATGGGAGGAAGGAGGGATGGGAGGAAAAGAGGACAGGAGGGAGGGAAGATGGAAGGAGGGAGGGAGGGAGGGGAGAGAGAGGAAGGAAGGAAGGGAAGGGAAGGGAAGGGAAGGGAAAGGGAAGGGAAGGGAAGGGAAGGAAAGGGAAGGGAGGGGAAGGGAGGGGAAGGGAGGAAAGAAGAAAGGGGGGAGGGAGGAGAGAGAGAAAGAAAGAAAGAGAAAAAAGGGAGGGAGAGAGAAGGGAGGGAGAGAGAAAGAAAGAAGAAGGAAGGAAGGAGGGAGGGAGGGAGAGAGGGAGAAAAAGGAAGGAAGGAAGGAAAAGAAGGGAGGGGAAGGGAGGGGAAAGGAAAGGAAAGGAAAGGAAAGGAAAGGAAAGGAAAGGAAAGGAGGGAGGGAGGGAGGGGAAGGGAGGAAAGAAGAAAGGGAGAGAGGGAGGGAGGGAGGGATTGAGAGAGAGAGAAAGAAAAAAAGAAAGAGAAAGAAAGAAAGAAAGAAAGAAGAAAGAAAAAAAGAGGGAGGGAGGGAGAAGGGAGGGAGAGAGAAAGAAAGAAGGAAAGGAAGGAAGGAAAGAGGGAGGGAGGGAGAGAAAGGGAGAAAAAGGAAGGAAGGAAGGAAGGAAGGAAAATGAGGGAGGGGAAGGGAGGGAAGAAGAAAGTGAGGGAAGAAGGGAGAGAGAAAGGAAGGAAGGAGGGAGGGAGGGAGAGAAAGGGAGAAAAAGGAAGGAAGGAAAGAAGGAAGGAAAAGAAGGAGGGAGGGGAAGAGAGGGAAGAAGAAAGCGAGGGAAGAAGGGAGAGAGAAAGAAAGAAAGAAGGAAAGAAAAAGAAAGAAGGAAGGAAGGAAGGAAGAAAAGAAAGAAAGAAAGAAAGAAAGAAAGAAAGAAAGAAAGAAAGAAAGAAAGAAAGAAAGAAAGAAAGAAAGAAAGAAAGAAAGAAAGAAACTGGAGGGGAAAATGTCCGGATCAGAAGCCGATGCTGCCTCGAGCCAGGCAATAACCCAGTTTATTTTGGTTTCCGAAAAAGGCCATCATCCCGGTGTAGGTCTGAATGCGGATGGGCTCGCTCACCAAAACCACCCCGGGAATCCGTCCTGGCGCAGGACTCATTTCTTGGGCGCTCTGCACGGCTTGAAGCAGCTGAGCCTGGAAGGCAGAAACCTGCAAATAAACAAGAGAAGCCATCAACCAAACTATTTTTTCCTCCTCTTCCTTGCAATATTTCCCAGGCAGGATTAATTATCCTTTTTTAATCGTGTTTTTTATTGGAGCTTAAAAATGCAAATATAAAAACTAATGCCAACTAAACAAATATATCAAAAAGAAACAAAGCAGAAAGGAAAAGATATATAAGTAATAAGTAATGGTTATAAGTAATAAATAAAGAAATAAGTAATGGTTGTTTTAAATAATTGGATAAGGCTAACAACCATTTTAAGAAAAAATGGGGTGGTTATTTTTTGGGAGTTTAAAAATGGAAAGATAAAAGTACAGACCAAAAAAATTGTGAGAGAAAAGAGAGGAGAATATAAGCAAAGGAGGCAATTATCATTTTAGGTAATTAAGTAAGATTAATTATCCTTTTTAATCATGATTTCTATTGGAGTTTTAAAAAACCCTGAAAGATATATCAAAAAGGAAAAAACGCAGAACAAAAAGAAGAGAAAAATATAAAGAAAGGTAATTATCATTTTGGATAATTAGATAAGATTAATTGTCATTGTTTTAATTATTGTTGTGGAAGATTAAAAATGCAAAAATAAAAATAATACAAGCTTAAAAAAAAAATTTAAAAGGCACTATATACTGAGAGGGGGGGAAAGGAAGGGAAACATATAAAGAAAATGGATGATTATCATTTTAGACAATTAGGTAAGACAATTAGGTATTTTTTTTAAAAAAAAAAATCTTATTGTACTACAGAATACAGAATAACAGAGTTTGAAAAGACCTTGGAGGTCATCTAGTCCAACCCCCTGCTTGGGTAGTCCTCAATTTATGACCATTTGTTCAGTGATAGTTCAAAGTTAGAACGGCCCTGAAAAAAGGAACTTATAACCAGCCCTCACACTTACGACCGTTGCAGCATTCCCATGCAGTGGTCATGTGATCAAAACTCAGATGCTTAGCAATTGATTCATATTTATGACGGTTGCAGTGTCCCGGGGTCCCTTTTTGTGACCTTCCAACAAGCAATGTCAGTGAGGAAGCCAGATTGATTCAGAGTTCAGGAGTGGTAAACGGGGAACTGGATGACCTTCTGTCACGGATGATTTAATTACATTCCTGCCTGGAGCAGCGGGTCGAACTAGATGATCTCTGAAGGTCCCTTTCAGCTTTTATTTATTTATTTATTTATAATTAGACTTCTATACCGCCCTTCTCCCAAAGGACTCAGGGCGGTGTACAGCTATATTAAAACACATAGCTTACCCTTTATATGCTTCCGGAAGGCATCTGCTTGGGAAATTCCTGCGTGCATTTCCCTGGAGAACTAGAGGTAGTCCTCCACTTATGACCCCAATTCGGCCCAAAATTTCTGTTGCTAAGTGAGACAGTTGTTAAGTGAGTTTTGCCCCTTTTACGACCTTTCGTGCCACATGTGAAGTGAATCACTGCAATCGTTAAGTTAGTAATACCGTTGTTAAGTGAATCCAGCTTCCCTAATGATTTTGCTTATCAGAAGGCCGCAAAAGGGGATCGATCCCATGACCCTGGGCACTGCGAACCGTCGTAAGTATGAGTCAGTGAGAACAATTAATATCTTGCCTTCAGAAGCGGTGGATGTTCCATCACGGGTGGTTTTTAAGTAGAGATTGGACAACCATTTTGTCTGAAATGAGATAGGGTTCCCTGCTTGAGAAGGGGGTTGGACTAGAAGACCTCTAAGGCCCCTTCCAACTCTGTCATTCCGTGATTAGTTGCCAAGTGTCTGAATTTTGATCACAGGACCACAGGGATTTTATTTATTTATTTATTTATTTATTTATTTATTTATTTATTTATTTATTTATTTATTTTATTAGGCTTATATGCCGCCCTATCTCCAACGGACTCAGGGCGGCTCACAACAATAAAACCACTATCCATAATGCAAGTTAAAACGCCTAATTGAATCAGATACAATTAAAAAACCGTAAAAAACGGGTGTTGCAATGACCATAAGTGTGTGTGTGTGTGGGGGGGAAAGTCCCTTTTTTTTAGTGCCGTTGCAAACTTGGAACGGTCACTAAATGAATGGTCATAAGTTGAGGACTTCTTCTGTTGGGGGAGGAACGGAGCAGGAGACCTTATGGCTTACGAGAACACCTCTGACAAACAACCCCCGGAAACCAGATCCCTCCGTACAAAAGGGATCTAATGGTGTCCTTCAGCCACCTCTCCATCATAACGCAGCTGGGACCCTCCCAGATTTATGAGGGGGGGGGAGGTTAGGGGGCAGAAGGATGTTGTTGCCAAACACTTGCGAACGCGTCTCTTGCATGCAAAGGATATTTTTCATGCCCGGGATTAAAAAGCAGCTTGGAGAGAGAGAGAGAGAGAGAGATCGAATGCACTAAAACATCCTCCCCATGCCAGGAACACAAAGGGATTGTGTTACACCCCACAACGACGGATGGAGGTCTGGAAAGCGTCCCAGATCTCGAGGATAAACCGAGACAGACGCAGATGGGGAGGAGGAGGAAGGGGGGGAAAGGAAGGGGCTGGGGTCTCTCTGGATGGAAATGGAGCAAAGCACTTGACAGCTGACCTACGCTGACCCCCCCCATCTTGCTCGCTTGCTTGCTCCGGCACACTCGTGCACGAGTGTGCAGCTGTTTTCGTTTTAACTGGATTTTAAAATGTAAGACCCCCCGTTCTAAATGCTTCCCCTGGCACTTTTACGGAAGGATCGTCAGCGAGATAAGCAGCATATAAGTTTAATAAACAAACCAGCTTACTCCACTTAAGATCTAACAGCTGACTTTCACAGGACATGTTAAGCTTACTTAGTATTGCAGGTAGTCCTCGACTTACAACCGTCATTTGAAGTTGCAACGGCAGCGTAAAAAGCGACTTATGACCGTCTTTTCATGCTTACGACCACTGCAGCATCCCCAGGGTCAAAATTGGCAACTGACTTGGATTTATGACAGCTGCCATGTCCCGGGGTCACGCAATTCCCCCTTCGGCGACCTTCTGACGAGAAAAGTCAACGGGGAATCTAGATTCGCTTTAACAACCGTGTTCATCCACTGAACGACTGCAGGGGTTCGCTTAACAGCCGTGGCAAGGAAGGTTGTAAAACGGGGCAAAGCTTGCTTCATAACTGTCTCGCTTAACAACGGAAATTTAGGCCGTAAGTCGAGGACTACCTGTAAAGCTGTGGGAGCTTCATCACCAGCAGCTTTTAAGAAGAGACTGGACCGCCATCTGTGAGAAATGGGGTAGGGTCTTCTACTTGTGTAGAGGGCTGGACTAGATGACCTACAAGGTCCCTTCCAACTCTGTTAATCTGTATCTGTTCTGTGAAAGCTTTCGGCTGCTACTTTCTATGTTTTTTTTCTCTGTTTTTGGCAGATTCTCTCCAGCTCTTTTTTTTCCCCTGCGCTCAGCTCAATTTTCTCTTTTATTTATTTTCTCAATTATTTATTTATTCGGCTTTTAAACTATCGGGATCCCATTTATTCTCCGCGGTTTCCCGAAATAAAACATCCACAGCACAACACTACAGCTCAGATGGCAAAACCATTAAAAAAAACAAAAAAACCCAGGATCATTAAATGAAAATTAAAACGCTCGGACCATAACAATCAGAGGCAGTTTTTTTAAAAAAATGTTCTTTCTTTTTTGGGCAGCTTTTGAGTTGGAAGAATAAATGCGTAAAATTGCTGCTTTTTCCCAAGGCCTTTTGGCTTCAAAGAACATAGCATCCCAGATCTGGAAGGGACCTCAGAGGTCCTCTAGTCCAACCCCTTGCTCAAGGCAGAAGACTCCCCCCTACCAGCAACTACCGTGACCCACTTAACAACTGTGGCAAGGTCGTAAAAATGGCCAAAACTCACTTAACAACCATCTTGCTTAGCGGCAGAAATTGCAGTCCTAAACTGAGGACACAGGCAGTGTGGTATTGATAGGATCAAGTGAACTTAATATTGAAAGAATTTAATATCGAAAGGAAAATTTAAAATTGCTGTGTAGTGAAAACTTACTGAGTGGAGAAACAAGCCTGCCCAATGAATCTACAATGGATGGGAGCAAGAAATGGTAGCATAAAGGCAGGATGTAAGATAGACACGAAGGCAAAAATTAGCCGGGTTTTCAGAGAGGGAAAAGGAAGATTACAAGCTGTAAAAAGAGTTGCGAGAGGAAAATAGCCGGCCAGGGAAAATTAACTGAATGGGAAAACAGGAAAGGCAAAGCTAAAATTAAAAAAAACAAGAAAAAATCAATTGTTTAAGAAGCCCGGTACTCAAAACAGGCAACTGAGTATGTTTAATTACATGTTTAATTAACCTTACATCACCGTGCTGAAGGCCTGCCTACCAGCGAAGACGGGAAAAGAAAAAAGAACGAAAACACATTAAGGAAGTCCTCAGAACGTGTGGCTATCCCAAGTGGGCCTTCATCAAATCTCCAAAAAAAATAAAATAAAAAAAAAAAATCCTACAAGATTTCCTCTGTAACAGACCATGACGAGAAACAATAAACGAAGCAACATTGTCATTCCGTACATTGCAGGCATAGCGGAAAAGCTCAGGAGGATCTTCAGACAACACAACATACGTGCACACTTCAAACCCAAGAGTACACGAAGGCAGAAACTTGCCTACCCCAAGAATAAAATGCCCAGACAGAAACTGAGCAACGTGGAATATGCAGTGCAATGCAGTGAGCCATGTGCAGATCTGTCCATTGGGGGAACAAAACAGCCACTTCACAAACGCATGGCGCAACATAGCAGAACAAACACATTCCAGATTCAGCAGTCCATCTGCATTTAAAAGACAAAGGCCACTCTTTTGAAGACATTCTGGACAGAGAGTGGGTTGAAAGAGGGGTCAAAGAGGTCATCTAGGTCAAAACTGAACAGCCCTCTCTCAACAAAGGGGGAGGGATATGACATCCTCTATCTCCAGTCTACAAACACAGTCCTTTCAACAGTTCCAAGAAGGCTGCACCCCCATTTGCACCACTCAGATGACCCTGAGGACACAGACAAGTGGCCTCAATGACTCTCGAGAAGGATGCAAATGACCCGCTGTCTTGCAAGGAATACAAATCCTTCCATTCCCCCACTATCCAGGCAGAGCAGAAGTTCCTTGAATGAGAAGTGAAACGCCTTCGAAATAAAACCAAAAGCCCCAGTTGCCTCTTGGGAAAAAAAAAAAGCACCTTTGTGACAAGGAAAGCAGACCTAAAACTGAAAAACAAGAAAAAAAAAATCAAAAGTGCCCAGGACTCCAAGCAAGCAACTGAGCATGTTTAATTAGCCGAAGAATATTATTCGACACACCTTGCGTAAACTATCTCCTAATTTTAATGTATGTGGGATGCATACATTTATTTATTTATTTTATTCAATTTGTATACCGCCCTTCTCCTAGTGGACTCAGGGTGGTGCACAGCCAGAACTAAAACACATACCAATACAAAATTTAAAATTATTAAAAGAATTACATGACTTTGGCCCCAAATTTAAAACAATTCGAATTACAATGATTTAGTATGTAGCAGGAAATAGGTAGGAGGAGATCGGGAAGCGTGTAAGCTGATAGTAGCTCAGCTAATGGGGAACACGGAGGGATGTGGCGGCCAGGACAGAGTTGTATAAAGAAGGGAATATTTTGGGGAGCAGAACCTTGGAGAGAAACCACGTTTTGATAAGCTTCTCTCACTGTTTGTCGCAATAAATGTCTTGGCTGGTTATTGGTCAGGCGAATTTGCCTCTGGTCACTTGAAGGAAAGTAGCCAGGAGCACATAAAACAGCCTGAAAGGAGTGTGTGTGTGTGAGAGAGAGAGAGACAGAAAGAGCACACTTGTTTTGGGATACAAACAACACATCTTCCCATCTGCAATTTGGCTTAGGAGGGAATTAGTAACCGGATCCCACCCATTTTAGAAGGGGAAAAACAGCAAGCAAGGAGACGGTTGATCTCAAAGTCCTTCAGCTGGAGGGAAGACGTGGTACTTCTCTGTCTCTTACGGGGGGGGGGGGATCAAGGGAGAGGGGGAAGGAAGAGATATATTTGGGGGGAGGAGTATAGAATTCTTGCACAAGGAACTTGCAAAAGAAAACAGATGTGGCTATAGGCGCAAAGCTCCAGGAACAGGGACTGTAGGCATAGGCAACCTCTAGTGGAGGGGTGTCCAATCAGAATAGAGCTGGGAGGGACTTTGGAGGTCTTCTAGTCCAGCCCCCTGCCCAAGCAAGAGACCCTATATCAGAGGTCTTCAAACTTGGCAGCTTGAAGACTTGTGGACTTCAACTCCCAGAATTCTCCAGCCAGCAAAGCTGGCTGGAGAATTCTGGGAGTTGAAGTCCACAAGTCTTCAAGCTGCCAAGTTTGAAGACCTCTGCCCTATATCCTTCCAGACAAGCGACTATCTAGTCTCTTCTTAAAATGGAAGATGGAAGAATTCCCCCAATCCTTGTCTTTAAAACGTTCTGCACACTGTAAATGCAGAGATTCGAAAGCGGAAAATGCGTTGGTTGCGTTCCTGGAAAATATTTGTTTCTCTTCTCACAACTGTCTTAACTAGGTCAAGTAAAGGCTAAATTGGAATACTATTACCTAATCTAGATTAGTTTCTAGTTCCTGATCCCAACTTGATGGGTTAATTATGGCTCAATGACAGGGTGAACTCAGGACAAAGGTCTTTATGGGTATAGATTAAGCAGGATGTATGAACACATCCATACTAGCCAGTGGTGAAATCCAAATTTTTTTACTACCGGTTCTGTAGGCATGGTTTGGTGGCGTGGTGGTGGCTTGGTGGGCGTGGCTTGGTGGGCATGGCAGGGGAAGGATACTGCAAAATCCCCATTCCCTCCCCACTCCTGGGGGAAGAATATTGCAAAATCCCCATTCCCTCTCCACTCTGGGGCCAGCCAGCCAGAGGTGGTATTTGCCGGTTCTCCGAACTACTCAAAATTTCCGCTGCAGGTTCTCCAGAACCTGTCAGAACCTGCTGGATTTCACCCCAGATACTAGCTAACCATGTTTGTTTAGTTTATGGTTAAGTGGTCCCACATCAGCCTTAACCAGGTCAAGTTGAGACCCAGCAGATGTATCAGACCCATTTGTCTGAAATGGTGTAGGATTTCCTGCCTAAGCAGGGGGTTGGACTAGAAGACCTCCAAGGTCCCTTCCAACTCTGCTATTCCATTCTATTCTATTCTATTCTATTCTATTCTTTCTGTTCTGTTCTGTTCTGTTCTGTTCTGTCCTGTCCTGTCCTGTCCTGTCCTGTCCTGTCCTGTCCTGTCCTGTCCTATCCTATCCTATCCTATCCTATCCTATCCTATTCCATTCTATTCTATTCCATTCCATGTATTCTATTCTATTCTATTCTATTCTATTCTATTCTATTCTATTCTATTCTATTCTATTCTATTCTTCATTCCAATATTCTATTCTATTCTATTCTATTCTATTCTATTCTATTCTATTCTATTCTATTCTATTCTATTCTATTCTATTCCAGTCCAGTCCAGTCCAGTCCAGTCCAGTCCAGTCTACCCTACCCTACCCTATCTTTGCAATAGACTAAGCTTGGTATATATTAACCATGGTTGGGTTTTTCATGGCTTAGGGGGACATGCAAGCCCAACTCTATAACCTTCCATCTACAGTATTTTGCAAACTAAGGAAAATGGGTTAATCTCTGATCAGTTTCAGCATCTGATTCCTGTGTGAAGGTAGCCACTCTGGGAGAATTCAGCATATAAAACTGCCCCTCCTCCTTGCAACCTCACCCCTGCTCCCATTTTGTTGGGGTGGTCTCTCGCTGACCCACCTGACAGATGGGGCTAAGCCTCGGGCAGCCATTTTTGACCGGGTGCTCCGTGAAGGTGGTGTAGGGCATATCGGTGGACCAGGGGTTCCAGCGGGAGACGAAGTTTGGTTCTTGCTGTTTGTCCCAGAAGATCCTCAGGCCTTCTCCATTCCTCCTAGAAAACAAAACATTTTGGGTCAATGTTTCTCAACTTGGCAGCTTGAAGATATGTGGACTTCAACTCCCAGAATCCCTCAGTTACCATGTGTAGACTTCAATTCCCAGAGTTCTCGGCCAGCATGAGTGGACTTCAACTCCCAGAATTTGTCAATCAGCATGCGTGAACTTTAACTCCCAGAATCCCTCAGCCACCATATATGGATTTCAACTCCCAGAATTCCTTAGCCACCATCTAAGGACTTCAACTCCCAGAATTCCTCATTCAGCTTGTGTGGACTTCAACTCCCAGAATCCCTCAGCCATCATCTAAGGACTTCAACTCCCAGAGCTCCTCAGCCACCATGCTACCTGGGGGAATTCTGGGAGTTGCAGTCCACCCATCTTCAAATTGTTATGGTTAAAAAAAGCCGCTATTAGGGGGTGTTTTTTAGGGGTGAAGAGGTGTTTCTGGCTGTTGTGGCTCCGTTGCCTGAGCCTGGGCTATCGACAGATGCAGACTCTGAGAGTGAGGAAGAGGAGTTGGCAAGGCCTCCCTCTCCAGGACCCTCCTCTCTGGCAATGCCTCCGGAGGACACCAAAGGCCAAACAAGGCTCAGAGCCAAGCACGTCCCCGCAGCCACAGGTGGACAGCGACGAAGGAGATAAGTGCTGGCTGGACCCTCGGCAGAGGCGCAGGGAGAAGTGTGCGCAGCAGAGGGGAAGGCGTGCCAGAGATTAGCTGAGTCACTGGACCACACCACACAGGGTATAAATGTGGGTGTGGTGGCCGGTTCAGTTTGTGATGAGCAAAAACTGGAAATACTCCATGATCTCTGTGTTACTGGACTTCTGCCTGCCTTGTCGGACTGCATTTGGACTAATCCTTGTATTGCTGAAACTCTGCCTGCTTTATCGGAATGCTTGGCAGTCTAATCTTTGTTTTGTGTGAGTAAAGTCTGAATTGGCAGCTAGCCACTGGGTTGCTGCCAGCTTTATCTTCAAAGAGTTTTGTCGTGTGGCTTATTAACTCCGGGCCGTCTGTGGGGTGTGTGTGGGGTACGGGGACAGAACACTGGCCTGCTCCAAACAAGGGACTCCTTTAGATGGGCCAAGCATCCAAGTTCTCCAGAAGAATCCAAACCCCGGATATACAGAATACAGAATAACAGAGTGGGAAGGAACCTTGGAGGTCTTCTAGTCGAGTCCCTTCTCAAGCAGGAGACCCTAGACCATTCTGGCCGAATGGCTATCCAATGTCTTCTTTAAAAGCTCCAGTGATGGAGCAGATGGTGATCCCTGTAGGGAAGGAATTCCTAGAGGGAAGAAGGAAGGATTTGAAGGACATCATACCCAGTCATGGACGTCAGTTATTGTAGGACTTGAAAACAGTTGGAGAACATGGGAAAATTAAAAATTTCCCAAGGGTGACACCTGAGCTCCTGAAAAAACCAAATCCACGGATGAGTCAAGATGAAAAGCAACACAGAACTCTTGTCTGGACCTTCCCCAGGATATGAGCCCCCCCAGGGCAGGGAGAAGACAATCCCATTGCATAATGAAAGGTGAAGAACATTGAGGTCCCTCGGCCCCTCCCCTACACAATGTAGGGAGGGGCAAAGAAATTCTCCTCCATTGCCCCAAGGCCATTTGAGCTGGTTGCACCACCAACTGCCTTGTGCATCCTTCTGCCTCTCAGCCGCACCCACATCTTCTCTGCAGCAGCTCATGGGACATCTCCCTTTCCTTCAGCAACTTTGGGTCCAAGATCCTAGAAGGCCTGGGTAAGGCCACACTTGGAATCCTGCATTCAGTTTTGGTCACCATGATGTAAAAAAGACATGGAGACTCTGGAAAAAGTGCAGAGAAGAGCAACCAAGAGGATTTAAGGAACTGGAGGCTAAAACATAGAAAGAACAGTTGCTGGAATTGGGTGTGTCTAGGTTAATGAGAAAAAGGACTAGGGATGACACAATAGCAGTGTTTTAATCTTTGAGGGGGCTGCCCCAAAGAAGAGGGGGGTCCACCTATTCTCCAAAGCCCCTGAAGGCAGGACAAGAAGCAACGGATGGAAACTCATCAAAGAGAGAAGCACCCTAGAATTAAAGGAGAAATTTCCTAACCATGCATCCAGAAATTGTGGGTGCTCCAACACTGGAGATTATTAAGAAGAGAGTGGACCACCATTCATCTGAAATGGTATAAGGTTTCCTGCTTGAGCAGGGGGTTCGACTAGAAGACCTCCGAGGTCCCTCCTAAACCATGTTGTTCTGTTAAGATGCCTGGTCCTTGGAGGTACCACAGTTGCATTGAACCACGTCACATGATCCCAATCCTCGTTTCTCTTCTTCTCTAAGCATCTTTAGGAGACAGGGGTTGGAGGCCTGGAGACCCCGTTGGGGGGGCTTCTCCCAGAAGAAGACCTCCCAAAAGAAGACCTCAGCTTCTGCCCGTCAGATCTTCTGAAGAGCCTGAAGATTGAGATGAATGATCAGGGGATGGACTGAGAGACACCCCATCCCTTCCCAACGATTTGGAGAACATAGATAGGTCTGTGGCAGGCAGCTTTTTAGGAACCAGAGGACCTAAGGGGACATTGTCTTGATACAGATATTCCTCGATTTACAACCATTCACTTAGTGACCATTCAAAGTTGCAACAGCGCTGAAAAGAGGGACTCGCGGCCGTTTTTCACACTTTACGACTATTGCAGCCTCCTCGGAATCACGTGACCAATGCCATTTGCCACCTTCCTTACCTGGCTTCCCGACAAGCCAAGTCCACGAGGGGAAGCCAGATTCACCGCCGCGCGGTGCTTAAACCCTGGAAATTTCCCTTCGCGATCGCGGTTGTAATTAAACATGGAAATTCCCGCCGTGATTACGGTCGTAAGGCGAGGACTACTGCGTGGGGGACCGATGTTGCAAAGGAAGGGCTGCCGCGTGTCGGAATGTCTTCTTTGGAGACTTTAATCTTTCTGGAGAGACAGATTAGATGCGGCGTCCCTTCCCTCCTCACCAAAACTGTGATCGGGTTTCTCGTTTCAAACGCAATTATTATGAAAAACACCTTCCGAAGGATGCCAGCATTCAGGCGGGGCCAACTCCCATTTCTTGCCAGCCCAATAAATCCTCCTTTTCTGTTCCTTCCTTTTTAAAGACATAATAATAAACACAGCTCTGCTCTTGGGCTTCTAACTCCGGGCCAGAGAAAGCAGAAGAGGAGGAGGAGGAGAAGAAACAAAAGGAAGAAAAATAATAAACAGATTTAAGAGCTTTTTTTTTTCTTCCTTTTTTTTTTTTTTCCCATTCAAGAAGCACCTGGCTTTCGAGAGAGAAGGAAAAACAAAATAGGATGCGCGTGTTTTCTCCTCAGAGGAAGCCAGGTCTCCAAGATGTGCCCACCCCCTCAATTAAAAGTCCACTAAATTGCAAGCAGCAAAAGAGGGAAATTGCAGGTCCCATCCCATCCTGTCCCCCCATTTGTGGACGGGAGTAAATTTTGGGGTGTCCGTGTGTCCTTTGCAAAGATTTGTGGATCCAGGCCCTTCCTTGGAGCGATGAAATCCTGTACAAATTACAGATTAGATGGCAGATTAACAGAGTTGGAAGGGACCTTGGAGGTCATCTAGTCCAACCCCCACCCCACCCAAGCAGGAGACCCTACGCCATTTCTGACAGATGACAAATTAGACCCACAGGCAGCCCTTGACGTAAAACTATTTACTTAAGGGCCGTCCGAAGCTACAACGGCGCTGAAAAAAGCGACTGATGACTAGTCCTCGCACTTATGACTGTCCTGCAGTCAAAATTTGGCAACCAGCATGTCTTTGTGACAGCAGCTGCAGCATCTTTGGGGGGGGGTCACGTGATTGCCATTTCTGACCTTCTTAGAACACCTCCGACAAGCAGAGACATTGAGGAAAATGGATTCATTTAAGGACCGTGTGATTTGCTTAGTGACCGTGGCAAAAAGGTCACAAAATGGCTGCCACTCACTTAACAACTGCCTTGCTTAGCAACGAAGCTGCAGTCCCAATTTGGTCATAAATTGAGGACTACCTGCAGACAGATCTGGTTCCACACCCCAGTATTCAGTGAATTTAATACGAATTAATAATAGTATCCTGTGGCTAATTAACACTTTATGAACGTTACATGAAACGTTATCATTCAAAAATTGGCCGGAAAATAAAGTTTCCTGTCTCAAGCAGCGGGGTTGGATTAGAAGACCTCCAGGGTCCCTTCCAGTCCTGTGATTCTATATTCTAATTCCACCCTTGTGCCGATGGTGACTCATTTAGGAGCTCCTTCCATTCACATATCACACTGCCTTTGTCTACAGTCCAGTGAAGTACAGGCAGTCCTCGCCTTACGACCACAATGGAGTCCCAAATTTGGGGCATTTGTCAAGTGAATTTCACCCCATCTTACGACCTTTCTTACTACAGTTGCTAAGTGAATCACTGTGGTTATTATTAAATTAGTCACTGGGTTGTTAAGTGAAACTGGCTTTCCCACGTTGGCTCTGTGGGTCAGAAGATTGCAAAAGGGGATCACACGACCCAGGGACGTTGCAGCCGTCATAACTATGAATCAGTTGCCAAGTGTCCAAATTTTGATCAAGAGGGCTGTTCAATTTGGACATAGATGGCCTCTTGAACCCCTCTTTCAAAACAGCAGTCCTCTCTGTCCAGAATATGGGCTTTGTTGTCTTCAGAAGAGCGGCCTTTATCTTTTAAATGCAGATGGATTCCTGAATCTTGTCCTGATCGATTTGTTCTCCTATGTTGTGCCATGCGTTTGTGAAGTGGCTGTTTTGTTTCCCCAATGGACAGATCTGTACAGGGGTCACTGCCTTGTACTGCATATACCACATTGCTCAGTTTCTGTCTGAGTGTTTTATTCTTGGGGTGGATTCTTTGTCTGCATTTGAAAGACAAAGGCCACTCTTCTGAAGACAACAAAGTCCATATTCTGGACAGGGAAAACCCAAGAATACACGCAGGCAGAACTCTGG